GAAAAACAATAATGTAGAGTATTTCGATTCATTTGGTAATCTAAAACCACCTAAAGAACTTGTTCGTTACGTTGGAAAACGTATTAAAATTTACTACAATAACGAACAATATCAAAATTATAATCAGTTTAATTGTGGACATCTGTGTTTAAAATTCTTATATGGATAAGTACATGATGGATTTTAAAAAGTCTGTGTGCGATCTCACTGCAGAAGAATTATCCATGACTTCAATTCGATGTTTGATAAAGTATGTGAAACCTGGGGAGCTGTTAGACATTTGGCATAAATTACCTAAAGAATATCGCAATAACTTTGAACTACAAACTTGTTTACCTTGCTTCATTCATTACAACAGACCGGATGTTGAATGTCACATTGATGGACCTCCAAAATCGCAAAGAAATTGTTATAAATGTAATTTATAAAATACTTATAAATAAAAACTTGTAGCGTTAACAACAGTCATGTCTCATCAGTTGACGATTACAAGTAATACGAATGAGTTTGTTTTTACTCCACAAATACCCTTAACACTAAATCCGAGAAAAAATTATCATTTAGCCGTTTTAGGATTTGCTTCTTGTAATTCTATTCCAAATATTGATGGAGAAAAATTTTACTTCTACGAAGACAGCAAGCGAACCAAATTAAAATCCATTGAAATACCGGTTGGTTGTTATGAAATACATGGTATTTATAGATACATTTATCATCAATTAAGTATTATAACAAATAATCCATTAAGTTTTTTCCTAAAACCTAATAATAATACTCTTCAGTGTGAAATTTTTTCTGATAAATACGCAATTTCCTTCGAACCATCAGACAGTCTAGGTGAAATATTAGGTTTTTCAAAACGTGTTTTAAAACCAGGTGTAATACATTCTTCAGATCTTCCTGTTCGCATCAAAAAAGTATCAAGTTTACACTTTGAGTGTAATATCACTGAAGGAGCTTACATGGGAAATCAACCGGCTCATACTATACTAAGTTTTCCAATTACTGCAGATCCTGGTTTTGATATTATTGAAAGACCACATAACCCAATATATTTACCTATAACTCCTACAGAACAAATTTTCAACATCACTGTTCGCGTATTAGATCAAAATCGCAGACCTGTCAATTTTCGAGGTGAAATAAGTACATTAATTTTATATTTGCAAGAACGCTAATGGGATTAGTCATTGAATATAAAGAATCAACATCAACAACATCACCATCATTGTTCCGTAAGCCTTTTAAACGAATTGAGGTGTCTCCTGCGAACAAGGCTTTCCTAAAATCAATCGGTTTGAGATTAGTTAATGAAAAATGAGAAAATACATTCGTTCTGAAGCACCTGCTAAACGTTTAAGGATTTCATCAAAATTTGATCTTTATCGAGAACCTAAATACGATGAATCAATTAGAAAAGAAGAATATCGAACATACGTTCCATACGTGAAATCTTTCAATAATAGTGATGTTATAGAGTTTATTATTAATCAAAATGATGCTTTCTTTTTAATGCATGAATCTCTCTTGGAAATTAAAGGTACTTTAAAAGTTGATGGACAAGATAAGGTTTCTCTAGCATCCAATTTCGCTGCATTTTTGTTTGACTCTTGCTCTTACATTCAAAGTGCAAGGGAAATAGAAACAGTTAGAGATCCTGGAATAGTTAGTACTATAAGAGCATATTTATGTTATGAACTAAACTCAAATTCGACTACTACAGCTGGATGGAATTATCCTAATAAACCTATATTGAATGATGCAGATAAATCATTTAGCATACTTATGCCACTTAAACATATATTTAACGTTTTCAACGACTATAACATGATTACTTATGGTAGACAAACTTTTCGTTTTGTTAGAGCACGTAATGATGATGATTGTATAATCATAGATAAGTTGAATACAACAACTAAAGTTGAATTTAATATAACCAATATGGCTATTAAAGTGAAACATGTATTCCCAAATGATGAAATAAAATTACAAATAATGGAACCTATTAAGAATGATCAACCGATACTCATACCGTTCAGAAAATGGGAGTTAAATGAATTACCTGCAATTACAAAAGATGCTAAAAATGAAATATGGGCTGTGAAAACTAGCGCTGCTGTAGAAAGACCTCGTTATGTTATTGTATGTTTCCAAACCAATAAACGTAATCAAAAAAATGAGGATCCTACCAAGTTCGATCATACAAATATATCAAATATTAATCTATCACTGAATGGTGAATTATGGCCCAACGAAAAAATGAACTTGGATTTCGATAGAAACGATTACCCTTTAGCATATCATAATTATACAAATTTTAATTCAAGCTATTCAAATTCCACATCTCAAAATCACCCCTTATTAGACTATACATCATTTAAAAATCGAATGTTATACGTTATAGACTGTTCTAAACAAGAAGAAACCATGAAAATATCAACGGTGGATATTAAATTGGAAATAGAAGCTAATAAAGGTTTCTCAGCAAACACAAAGATTTACTGCATTATTGTACATGATTGTCTATTACAATATTCACCTTTAACTGAAATAATTAGAACTATAATATAAAAAAATATTTAATAAATTACAAGTAGTAGTACAACATAAAGAATCTTTTATTTAACACCCCCGTACCCTCATACCTAACACCCCCCATACCTAACACCTCCCATACCTAACACCCCCCCATACCTAACACCTCCCATACCTAACACCCCCCCATACCTAACACCTCCCATACCCAACATCCTCCGTACCTAACACCTACCATACCCTACGTACCCCCGTTACAACACCCCCCGTACCCTCCGTATCCAATACCCTACGTATCCCCGTACACCACCACGGAAAAATTTTTATATCATACATGTTTCATTACATATGTTCATACTATCACCCTCCCCCTCGTACATTATCTTCCTCTTCATCTTCTTCTTATATACCCTCATTTATACACTACAATCACCTTGCCCTCGTAGCGCTGATAATACAGTCTCGTCTACTCCTTATACCGTCCCAAGTTCAAAACCAACATTTACCTTTTTTTTTCTCACACACACGTACACATAAACACAATACGTCACCATTACACACGTCACCGCGAATCCTATGCCGTTTCTAGACCACCTCAAATCCTATGCCGGTTCTAGACCACCTCAAAACCTATGCCGGTTCTGGACCACCTCAAAACCTATGCCGGTTCTAGACCACTCAAATACTATGCCGTTTCTAGACCATACATAAGTTCCCATAGAGTGGTCTAGAAACGGCATAGCCCTAACTACTGAGAACTTATGGTTATAATAATCTTCTGCTTCCCCGGCCACCCACAATTCTCGTTTTTGAATGAAGAACGCATTCTCGGAGCTTAGCGACGCTCTCCCCATGGTGTTGATGGCAGTGATAAACAAGGTATTATTCGAAACCTTCAGGTATCCGATGACATAAAAAATACTTGTTTATATTGCCATGCACACACTGTATGATTAATAGCCTTGGCCACAAAGCCTTTGAATAGGATATACCAAACCATTACCAACGCCCGGTTAGCTGTTCCTGCATGAAAAAGGGAAGGCTGCAATGGGATGTGTGGCGTGGAGAATTCTGTGGCGAATCGTATGACAAAACAATTTCGATTTTATAAAGCCCGTTTAAATTGCTTTTAAAATATGATCTTTGTTATTGATATTGACGCTATAGGTATAGATTGATTTTACATCATGCTTATAAGTAATGCACCTAAAAGTTAACAAAGAGTTTATGAACGGGCATTAATATTGAAAAAATATAGTTAGTAAAAAAAATGATTGTTTATTAATTTATGGTACGCGATATTAGCATGTATATCTTTCATGTATTCTTATAATAAATTATATACATACAAACACCCTGTAAGTTACAAGTATATAAGTTGCATTTTACCTTATGAAGACACGTCTGAGAAATTTAAGAAATGCTTACATTCCCGGCTACTATAAATAATTCTATCATGTAAACGTTAGCCGGCATCGCTATTAATCAAAGACAAGAAATTAAATTGTTAGACAACTTGCATGTTTTCTCAGACTTCCTGAACGTTCCCCATATACCAGTACGTACTTAAATTGATCATAAGTGAGTGGGTACGTGTGTAAATTAGACGAAGATACGATCGAATATAACAGTATCTAAAACTCGGTAATAGTCGCTTCCATAAGAAACATCGAGATTGAATATTCTGATGTTAAAATAATAATCACCGAGAGATCTAATTAGGCGAGCGATGTTTTATTCAATTTTACTTGCGTTTTCATGATAGTTTAAAAATGCGATTTTTTATACTACATTTTTAAAAATACAATTGATTTTGGTTGAATATTATAGTTGAATAATAATTCTATATTCTATTGTATTTTAACGAATCGTTCGTAAAGCTTAATAAGGTATGAAATTTAGTAGATATGATGATGATAAAAAATTCTTTGACTCGCCTTGATTTTCAAATTTTACTTGACCTACATTTTTACCATTAATTTGCCACGTTTCTTCTTAATTACCTTTGACCAAAAAAAAAAATCATAATTAACCTGATGATCTCTATACGATATAAATTCGTTAAAACTTTCCACGCACCGACTGGACAATCGCCAATAAAACATTAGACGTTTATTTTCGAGTGCATTGCCATTGCATTTTATTTAACAAGACGCCTTAGGTCTATTGTTTGACGACTAGGATAATAGGCAGCCATGGCCGGATTATGCTCGCCCCCAGTGACCGGTGGGTGGCCCTCCGAGTGATATCAAGTGGTCTGTCTACATAGCATGTCGCCACTGTTACCGCAACTCAGATTGATTGTTCCAGTCACGCGAAACTGATAGCACGGCGGACCACACGCGCCGCCCTGCCTATGCCGTGGCCCCGCCTCGGCCTTCGGCCCGGCCCCCATCGCCTAGCCGGAGCTGCGAGTGACGTTAGCCGTTCCGCTAAAGAGAACTGGTTAGTCTGAGAGTGGGCAGCACTAGTACAGGTCATGTGTTAAGCAGCATTGACGGTTTCTCTGGTGATACTGGTGATTTGTGACTGTGTTTTTGTGATGTTGCTCGGTGTAATGCCCGAAGACAGCGTCCCCGGGGGGCTCCTCGCGCCCACGGCGAAGAGCCAAAGGGCCACCGATTTTTCTATCGCTGCCATTATGGCGCGCGGCGCGTCGCCGCCGGATGGCGAAAGTCTTATCGCTAGAGAACCGCACGCCGACGGTAAGTTTTATTATAAAATTTGCTATAAAGAATTACTAAACTGCAATTTTCATTGGTTTTTATATTAAACATTTACTTGGCAATCCTGGTACAACCAGCAAATATAAATTGCTTCTAAGTCCTTATACATATTAGGTCTTAAATTAATTTGGAAAATTTACAAGTAATAATGTTTAATAAAACATTAATTCAAAAACGAATACATCAGAATGTTGCACCTATTATACATTATGGTATATTAGTATACCTAATATCTACTCATCCTATTTTATATTTTACACATTACCCAAATTGTTTCTAAATTATATTTTCAATATTTCTATTCAGATGTTTATCATTTATCTATTATAGATCTACAGACATCAAGTAAATACAATATACATTTTCTATAGTATCCCGAAACCAATGCAACAAATGATGATAGGTTATAACAAATCATTGTAATAAAAATAAACCATTGACATAGTAGTTATATCGTATAGCTATACTTTTTGATTTAAACCTGTTATCCTATATTATTCATTTTAAAATATCCATGATGATTTATGTTTTACATTAGGTAACAAAATACTTATAGGTGATACCTCAACAAATTTAACATAAATACAGTATTACATAGATAACATAATTTTGTAGAGAAAAATACAAATTAGCAATGCTTACCTGTTGTACTATTCCTATATTAAAAATATTTCAACAATTCCTTCTTTCACAGTGCGTATAGATAAATTTATTTAACTGAGGTTTAGGTTAACTTTTGGTCATGTATAATGAATAATTATTTTGGTATTAGTGTTTTGAGTTAGGTATTTCATTATTTTTTAATACCATTTCGATCTAAGTATATCTACAATGTGATTATAGACAAATTTATTAACAATTAAGTACTTTTATACCCAATATTAACTAAAGATATCCTGATGTGAATACCTATACAAAATATAATAAATTTCGTTTATTTCCATCCATTCAATTCATACAAAATGAAAGAAATTTTGTGTAAAACACCGCGTATAAATATAAAATATTATTTCGCCTTCCAGGCAGTCTATCGCGTTTAAGTTCCCCCGACCTGGACGATCCTCTCGACGACGACGACGTCGAGGTGGACGTCGAAGAGTGCTCGGACAGCGAATCGTCTCGAGCGACGAAATCGAAAGCGCCGCGACACAGTCCCGCGATATCGGATTGCGGATCCGAAACGGCCGATTTGGACAGGGAATCGCCGGACATCGTGCCCGACAAGAAGCCGGCCAAGCCGCCGGCGATACTCTGCAATTGCGACGAATTGCTGAGCGTCGAATGCCACCTGGAGACGAAGGATCTGTGGGACAAGTTCCACGAACTGGGAACGGAGATGATCATCACCAAAACTGGCAGGTGAGCTACATTATTTTTTTTTCTAACAAGTTTAACTTTGCGTGTGTTTATCGATTATAAAAATGCCCAAAAACAGTTTTACAGTACTGGTATACATTTTTCTATTTAAGTTATAATGAACTGGCAGTAGTATATGAAAGACGTTAATTTATTAACTATAATCTAAATCTAATTAAATGTATTAATGTCAATGTTTAAATGATAAGTTAATTACTATACAACACTAATATTTAATAGCGTGTGCATGTATAATTGGTCTTCATTTGAAATTATTTAACTAATTTTAATTGACGGACACCGCCGCGACGGAGTGAATAAACTACGGAAAAATATGAAAAATAACAATTATTTCATTACTCAAGAATTTCCCATTTACAGGATAATAAGATATATATACATATATATGAGTGAAGTTAACAAACTCTACTCTAAATTAAAAGTTATAGTCTCTTGTGATTTCTTATTAAAAGCACCCAATAATTTCTTTTAGTTTACAAATGTATGAAAAATTTGCACAAAATGCGAATAATTCTCATAAAGGTAAGTATTTCAATTTATTCTTTCATACCTAGAGGAGTATCTACTGCAATTACTAAATTATTTGTTGTCACTAACCTACGTCAACAATATTTATGTATTCAGGGCACGTTAAACTGTTAACAATTGTACATACGTATTTACCAATATTTTATCTATTATTACAAAATAACTATGTAAAATATACACATATACAGACATGCAAATGAATAACTAACTATATTATGTCACCGATAATACTTTGCATAAAGCGCGACTAATTAATGAAGAAGTCAAAGAAAATAAACAATCTTTAAAAAAGACTAATTTCCCAAGCCGGGTATCCAATTGAAATGCAATAAATCACCGATGTAAATCTCACTGTACTATATTACGGTATTTCAATTATTAAATACCACATATCGATTCCGTCCCATCCCCAATTGAATAGGATTACTCTCCGACAATATTGTTTCCTTCCCTTGCGCAGCATGTGACTTGTAAAGGGGGTGTAATACCCTTGGAATACACAACACTTGTATCAGATTCCAATTACTGGTATAACACCACTATATCGAGATGATTCTATTTATACACTAGGGGAAATAAAGCTCTACCGTATACGTCACAATTATTAGATACATTTTTGGCGTCTAATTTTGGACATAAAAAACAGCATACCAATACACTAAACCGGTCGAGGAATAAATGCACTTTTTCCAATTATGCGTCGCACAATTTAAAATTAAACGGGCAATAATCTCCGGTGATTTATAGAAAACGACGCGGCTTCAATTCGCAGCGTTCATCATATCGTTATGCGATTCAATAACCATTACAACACGAGAGAAAAACTCTTTATTGATAAGAACGAGGGGGCCAGCTGAGAGCGTCTCCAATAAATCGCTTATAAATTGAAAGGAACGGTCATTTTGCGCTTTGCCAACCACCTTGACCATAAATAGAATTGAGAAACTCGGCGTTTACTGAATCGCAAGAGGATTCAAACAATCAGGGACGGGTTTTTGACACAGTCCTTTATATTGTATATAATTTTACATAGCAGGGCATTCACAGAGTATTAATTTCACACAGTCAATCAGGATTTTAAGAAGAATTTAGTTAATAGTTAAGAGGAAGCTCTAATTGACGAACATAGCTTTAGTGTGTGTATACAATAAAAGGTTTTATTGTGATATTTATAATAAATAGAAATACATGGTATGAGTTCGGTCCTGGTATGGCAATTTAGCCGGCTTTGAAGCCGAGGAATCAATGAAGAGAAGCGGAATAGGGTAGAAAGCCGATTCGAATTAGATACTCTTCTGGTGAAAGTATATCTCTTGGAAATGTGTCGGGAAGCACCCCAATTCGGCTGAGCGTCTACTTAATTACGGATCAGAGCGGCTCTAAATCAAGGCGCGGCGGCGCCCTCTGAGGTTTAACGTCCTAACGACGTTATTACAAGTTGATGCAAAAATTGCGGAATCGTCGCACTAATGCCGTTTCAATTAAGTTAGATTTGCGTTCGAGTTTCATAATTGATTTCGACGTTTGCGCTTCGTGCTTCGCGGATTTAACGGTCTTCAGGAGATGTCTGGTCTTATGGACGCACGAATTGAATCTTTGTTGTATACGAAATGTATACCGATGTTTCTCTTGAGGCTGTTATTAAGAATCATCTTCGTACTTTGTATGGATTTATTTTTTACTTTACGGGTGTATGATCTTGATTTTATATTATATTATATGAAGTACCTAATACATTATTATACATAAGGGAAGCATATATATTTATCATCAAGAGCTTAAGAAATATTGTTGATGGAATTATAATTTTTAAATTAGTCTTTGATCAATTTTGAAATTTTACTATCGATTTAAAAAAAATTAATATGGGAATTGGCGGTTCGTTTTTTGTCACAAGTAATTTTATGTACTTCCGATAATTATCTACGGCCGCCGTTTTGCTACTGTTCCATACATATAGCGGTCGTTAAAAACGAAACGAACACATTAAAAGTCTATAAAAATACTAATTAAGTGTCTTGCAGAAGTTGCAACTAAAAATATATTCCTGTACCTACCTACACACACGTTTTTAAGTGCCTACCTGTTAACTATTCTAAAGGTATGTCAGTGTACTTATTTAAACGAAAATATTTTCCTAAATTGTGAATTTTTTTACTAAAAACCTCCGTAATTAGTTGTTTGGTATTTTGTATGTAATAGTTCAAATAATTGAATTTTCATGTAATTTACATTTTAGGCTAGTCGAGACACAAAATTAAAACCATCTAAAAAGTAGTAAAAAAAGTTATAAATATCCCATGCACCAATGCAATTCTTTCATTTTCAATTGTTTAGCCTTCGATGGATTTTTTATATTTTCAATGAAACAATAAAACGAGCAATTAAAATTAGAAAATTAGTTTCGAGATTAGAAACGGACGTTTAATTTTTCTCGAATTAATGGCCGCCACCTACGACACACTTTTCGTTTCGTATATTTTCATTAGCGCCGAATCGCCGGAACGCTTTCGAAAATCAAATTCAAATTTCGAAAATCAAATCGCATCGTTTCAACGGGCATTCTTCGGCGGCATTGTGGCCGCCGATCCGAACGTGAAATTTCCCTTTGACGCGATGGCCCAACAAACGAAAAATCGAACGGTCGACTTCCTTCGAGAATAGCACTCGAATAAAGTGGAAATGATATATGACATACGTCAGATTAGGATCAGCGAGACGTGCAGGTGCTTTGCCTCTCGTAAACGAAACCCTTCTCAACATTTCACGTCCGTGCATCGGCTAATTCGATTTGATTTTCTGGAAAAATATTATTATCACTCTTACTTAATAACTCATATTCGTTTTGAAATTTATGATTAATTAAAAAAATAATGAGGTGGATTTTTTATTATACCGATTTATATCCAGCCCATTGATACAAACTATCTATAGAATAATTTACTTCTGTAGGTACTTGGGGCTATTATTTAGTAGTTAAATTATTTTCATAGATTATTTTAACTTTGTGATAAATTTGATATTCAAAAATTAGTAGATATAACTAATGAGATCTACAATTCGCGATGAAGTGTTTCTTAAACGAGCCAATTTCCTATATTTTTTCTCTATCATCCCCAATATAATTCATATTGAAAACAACCACAAAAAGTCCCACTTATCACACGTCAACTACATGTCAATAGGTGTATATGTACAACTCGATATTTTATCGTACGTCATCGTAATTCCATTGGGTATGTGGCTGTCAACTATCTCTCTTACCGAGTGTAGTAAATCATTCCGATGCGCCATAGCTTTTACCTAATTAAAGCCTTAAATAATTTATTTACCCTGTCCCGACGCTGCGGTTTATCGCTATCTCTACCGCGAGTTGTGTACGTAATACGGGTTTATTCATTATCAAAATTAACAGCGCACTATTTAAAACCGAACGCAAAATGGAATGACAACGGAGAATGTAGGTACGAAATTTTATTGCCTCGTGGCCGCGCATTTTGAATGATAACCGTATTATCGTGCGCAACTGAAAGTCCCTTATACGTTCGTACAAATTTACAAAATAATGTAATTTATCGGGAACCTCTTGTATGGCCCCTAACGACTCACAAGAGTTCACGAATAAACTTTTATTAAGATAGAAACTAATGTATGTACAATGAGTAAGAACTTGACGGTATTTGGGCTCCTTCAGCGCTCACGAATACATAATTATTAAAACAATTACCGAGCATCTAAAAAATTAAAACGGGCGCTAGCGTGAACGCGGGTCGAGCACGAACTCCGTGAACGAGCGATTTTTGAAAGCAAAAACAAATATCGTGTTTTTTTCCTAGCGCTAACGAATATTTTTAAGAATTCCGTAAAAGATGCATAATATAGTGAAATTCGAACGAGGTCGATGCGGACTTGTTGGCCGGTGACAGGTGGTCGGTCCTATATGGTTTTCATCGTTAATTGTGAACATTAATATCGAACGGGAGTTCGCCGAGTTTCGAAATTTATGCCGGCCATAATCACAGGGCAAAAGCGACTCATTCCAATTATATATGGTAATTGGAGAGTGTTCGGTGGAACCTGACAGAATTCGAATTAAAAGGTGCCAAATTACCGGCCGAATCCGAACACGTTGTTTATTGCTAACAGCAATTTTCATTTTCACTGGCTTCGCTAAAAATGAATATTTTATCAAAGTGAATTTTAACGTACCTCTGTACTTTCATTGAAATATTGGAAATTTATAATAGGGCAGGAGATACATGAAGAATTTATAAGTATACTTTTGCTACTTTAGATCAATATTATAAATTTATTGATCTGTGGTAAAATTGTATTTCTAATTGGTATAATAGATGATAGTCTAGGTTTTAAATGAAATTAATAATGAAAAATTTTGAGCATCAGACATCGTGGTATCGGTTGGTTAAAGTTTATTATGTTCAGTGTTGGTATGT